TTTTTCAGCTATGAGAGGGTTGATGACATGATGTCGAGGTCCCTTCCAGCACTGGCCTCCCTGGATTGTCTTCCGGACACAACACTGTGGAAGTGTACACCAGTTTACCTTTCTCCTAGGCTATCACAGAACTTGAATAAACCCGACAATCAACCTATTTCTTCCTGAGTTTACATATGGAAGGTATTCAGGACCCTAGAAATTTTGTGGTCCAGACTGCACATTCTGAGATAGAGCTATTCCCTGATGTATCAGGGCCTCTGACGACTAAGATTCCTGTAGCCAGGCAATTTTCAGCAATATGCTTTGGCCTCAGCACGGTCCCAACGCCTTTCTGGTCTCCTGGGGCTCAGGGCACTCCATTTGTTTCATTCCAGGGCAGTGGGTAACAAAGTTTGACTCCAGAAAGACTTCCCTAGATGATTTCCACTTGGATGAGGAGAAGACCGTGAAAGTCCCCATGATGTCAGACCCTAAGGCCATTTTACGCTACGGCTTGGATTCTGATCTCAACTGCAAGGTCTGTAGGGGTAGAGTGAGTAGTGGGTGCGGGGACAGGCAGGATGGTGTAGTGGGAATAGAATGACTTTTGAGATTTGACAGCTGTCTAAATTTTACCTGCTGTGTGACTTTCAGTAAGTTAATAGTTTCTCTGAGCCTTTTTTCCTCAAAATAAAGGGGCATAGTTATCTAAACTTATCCTCTCATGCAGGGTTTCCTGTAAGGGTTGATAAGGTAATGTGAAATGGGCCCTCAAGACTGGGCACTCAAGGGACTTCCCTGGTGGTCCAGCGGTTAAGACTGCGCTTCCAATGCAGGGGATGTGGGTTTAGGGAACTAAGATCCCACATGCTGTGCGCCCCCCCAAAAAAAAGTATGCAGGGGAGTGTCATGATCAATGTATACTATACGTCTGAATAAATCTGAAAAAATGTTAATAACCATGAAATTAAAAAATTTAAAAAGATTAGGCACTCAGATGCTGGTGTTAATTCTTGTCTTTTCTTTCCTTCTTTTTCTCTTTTTTTGGGGGGAGAACTTGTATTTCTAGAAGTCAAAGTTAAACTTTCAAAAACTGCCACAAACTCCAAACTGCTGGCATTCTAAGTCTTTCCTACCTGACTTTTGAAAATTCGAAGTCAGAGTTCTTAACTTTTCTTTGGAAATCGGACAAAACACCTGAAGCACTGGAGAGAAATGCCACGTATGCATTTCTGTAGATGATTTCAGGGGCTCTTGGGACCTCTGATGCCATCTGTCCTGTGGACCTGAGGTTAAGGACCGCTGCTCAAAGGACCAATGTATTGCTGCTTCTGTGTGCTCTGCCCGGAGTCCCCAGAGGGCTCTGTACATAACAGATGATCAGTAACTGTTGGCAGACAAACCTTGGGAGAAAACACAGACCTGGAATTCAATCTAGCTCTTTAGAACCACAGGAGAAAATTCTTTCAGCAGATAACTTCAGTTGGTATTAGGCCCAGGTAAGAAAGGACAGTGGCCTACTTTTTGAAGAAACATCAGTAGACATCTTGCTGCCAGAAAGCCATAGCTTAGAGGGACAACTGTTACATAGATGAGGGGCTGGGAAAGCGTGGCAGGGCCTGGTTACAGGAGAGGAGAAGGCGGCTTGGGGGTGTGTGCCTATCTCTAGGCTCCTGGGCTCCAAAGGACTAACGCATGTGCTTTCTCCCTGTTGTGTCAGATTGCCCAGCTGCCCTTGACCGGCAGCACGAGTATCATTTTCTTCCTGCCTCTGAAAGTGACCCAGAACTTGACCATTATAGAAGAGAGCCTCACCTCTGAGTTCATTCACGACATAGACCGAGAACTGAAGACTGTTCAAGCGGTCCTGGCCATCCCCAGGCTGAAGCTGAGTTACGAAGGCGAACTCACCACGTCCGTGCGGGAGATGAGTACGTTTCTGCAAGACCTCTTTGCTCCTGGGGTGGGTGGGGTAGAGTCTTTGAGCCTTCCACCTTGTTAAGCAGAACGCAAAGGCTCCATGGCATTGTACCGAGGCCAGGGATGATTCCTTAATTCTAACAGTGCTGGAGGGGAAGACTGCCTTCCTTATCAGACTCATTCCTCAGCCCCAAGAGCATACTGTCTTATAACAGCAACTCAGAACACTGCCTCTCAAGATAGGTCTGTTGACCTGGTTTCTAATCTTAACCTCACTTGCTGTGTGCTCCTGGGCAAGTCACTTAACCCTTAACCAGCCCAGAGCTCTACATACCTCACAGGTCAAAAGTGGTGTTCCACTGCCAGCTTGCTTGCCTTCTCGACAATCAGAATTTAAGAATCAGGACTGTACTCTTCCTTGGGGTGTTGATGAGGCAAGGTTTTAACGGAAATCTCTCTCAATCTCTGCAGAGTTGCAGTCCTTGTTTGATTCACCAGACTTTAGCAAGATCACGGGTAAACCTATCAAACTCACTCAAGTGGAACATCGCAGTGGCTTTGAGTGGAATGAAGATGGAGCGGGTACCACCCCCAGCCCAGGGCTCCAGCCTTCCCACCTCACCTTCTCCCTGGACTATCACCTTAACCAACCTTTCATCTTTGTACTGAGGGACACAGACACAGGGGCCCTTCTCTTCATAGGCAAAATTCTGGACCCCAGGGGCACTTAATACTCCAGTGTAGTGTTCAAATACCCCAGAAGAAAACGCTAGAGGGATGGCAGATTATATATTCCAGGAAGGCTGCCCCTATGTTTCAATGTATACTTTGCAATAAAAGTGCTTTATCCTTAACTTTTGTTACCCTGTTCCTCCTATTCTGAGCTATGTTAAATTTAATATGAAGACAAATAACCCTTTAGGAATTTGCTGGTCCCGTATTTATAGCCTGGGTCTAAACTCTGCAGAAAGTCACCAGGTGAGATAAGAACTGTAGTTGTTTGCATTGTATGATTTCGGGATGGATTCTCTGCTCTGTGGGGTTTACACTCTAGGTCACTAATCCCCCGGGGAAGGAATTTCCTGTCTCCACAATCAGTGGACCATGCTCTTAAATACACCGGACTTTAGGTTTTAATGCAAGCACAGATATCCCCCAGTCAAGCTAATGTCACCTGACAACACAGGATAACATGCAGACAGATACGGGAGGAAGTCTGTAACTTCAGGAAACAATTCTTTATTTTCTAGAGCATTTAAAGAAAGCTCTCAAGTTCACATAAAATGAGGTCTGCTATGTAAAATTCTACACATACTCTTTGTAAGGAAGGGGGCCTATTTTACAAAGTACAACAGAACCTCCTTTTTCAGGAACATGAAACATGCCAAGTGTTTTGAAAAGAACTACAGAATTGGTCAAGACTAAATTCTTCTCCTTGAAAGAGTTAGCTCTACCAGAACATCTCATTGGCCACAGCCTTTGCCAAAGTGAGTTAGTAGAAAGAAAGATAAATGCGATTCTGCCTGCCCTTCATTCAAATATTTGAGCGTGAACCATGTTCTGAACACTCAGCTTCCTGAAAAGCTACTGCCAGGCAGCTTCAGGGCTATGCAGTTCCTGATTATAATGCCGGGGCAACCACTGAGCACTTCTTGGGCATGGCCGGGGTGGGCAAACTCTCAAAGCAGTGTGTATTCTTTTCCACCAACTCATCTGAACCACATGGTCCCCAGTGGTGACAGAGCACCCAGGGTTCAGACCCAGAGTCTCCCGGCCTTCTGACCGGGATGGGGTTTAGACTATTGCTATACATCCAGGTAGACAACAACTATCATTCCTACTTTTTGTCTCTTAAGTGTGAAACCGCTAGCAGCAATGCCCACACCCTCAGCATCTTCTGAAGTTGTTGTTTTTTTTTTTCCCTTCTCAGTAATTATGCAGTCTGTATTTCATTTGCCTGCTTGGGGAGGTAGAAAAAAGCGGTCTCTTTTCAGGCTTGCTAATAAACAGAACTCAGAAACGATGTGTTATAAAGTCATTGCTACAAGCTTGATTTTATTAGTGTTTGGTCAGTGAGTCTGCCCAGAGTATAGAATGAAAACCAGAGAATAAGGACTCAAAAACTGGTAGAAAACAAATTTAGAGTTGCCATCCCAGGAGGAAACTCCCCAACAATAAAATGGCCCCATATTTATTTCTCTATACACAATTTATACTCCACTGGTTTTAACAAAGGATTCAAGGAAGCTAGGTACCATAAATGAAACTACACCTCCAGAGGTAAGGAGCCTCACTAATTTCTTGCTTATAATTATTTTTCAATTACAATACGACTATTAAGAGTTTAAGTTCCCACTGGAGTGGTACACAACATTTCATTACTACTAGAAACCAAAGGAATGTTCCAGGGAAACAGACTATCATCATTTAGTGAGGTGGCATCTAGCCAAAACCCCAGGCTAACATCCAGATGCCTGCAGATCAGCTAAAATCCTTTTTTTTTTTTTTTTTTTTTTGGTTCGGGGGCCTCTCACTGTTGTGGCCTCTCCCGTTGCGGAGCACAGGCTCCGGACGCGCAGGCCGGGGCACGAACCCGTGTCCCCTGCATCGGCAGGCGGACCCTCAACCACTGCGCCACCAGGGAAGCCCCTAGCTAAAATCCTTTTAAAGGACTTAGGTTCTCCAGATACCAGTTTTAAGTTTTTTCTGGGAACCAGGAGTTTTTGTTGCAGAGCAGTTAACGACTTCAAGAAACATTCATCAAGATAGGTGAGCAATAGGGAGGGTGGGAGGGAGGGAGACGCAAGAGGGAAGAGATATGGGAACATATGTATATGTATAACTGATTCACTTTGTTATAAAGCAGAAACAACACACCATAGTAAAGCGATTATACTCCAATAAAGAGGTAAAAAAAAAAAAATAGATGAGCACATCTCCAACCGCAAAGCTTTCTAAGCCCTCCCCTCCCCTCATACACTAGGCTTGTGACTGCTGGGCAAGTCCTGTATTGTTTGGCGACAGCTCAGCAGCAACAGACCCTCTTTAACTCCTCCCACACGGACTCCTTTCCTGTTGGTCAAGGTCCCCTTGGGACCCTATTCGTTGGGTCCCACAGGGATGGGCGGCAAGTCCAACAAACAAGATTTCATCTTTTGTAGCTCCTGGATCTCGTCATTCCAAGGGCCATAGTGCACCAGCAGAACCTTTTCTGCCTGCTGTACTGTGTTCAGAGCTTCGGGTATTGCAAACCTGAACCAAAGGAGGTAAGAGGAGTGAATCCACCCATTCAATCAGGCAAACATTAACTGAGGGCCTACTCATACATAGCCTGTGGAGAATGTAAAGTAGATCATTTTTGTCTTCAAGGATCTTACAATCTAGAAGGGCAGATAAGACTCTCAGAAACACACTGAAAGGCAGAGTTTGAGATGAGAGTTATGAAAAAAAGGTATAAAGATTCCAGGATTCTAAGGAACAGGCAGATCTCAAAGCACTAATCTGATATTTACCCCAAGGTTTACTCAGCAGTCTCTGTCTTAGAGTCACGGAGTCCACCTATGGCCTGACTGCAGCCCTTTCCCTCTCTCTGATGGGGTGGACTGCCTCTATGTCTTGGGTATCAGGTCCACCCACCTCATAATCCTAGGACTGAGCTTCAAACAATTTCCCACACGGCAGCTTTACCAAGGTTGGACATATTCCGTCAAGGAATACTGACATCAGGGCGTCCTAGTGATCCCAGTTACAAAAGCGGATGAGGCATCAACTCATCAACCCTACTCTTCTTTCCTTTTAACCTTTAAAGCTGGGTTTCTCAACCTTGACACTGTTGACATTTGGGGCCGGATAATTCTTAGCTGTGTGTGCAGGGGCTGTCTTGTGCACTGTCGGATGTTTAACAGCATCTCTGGCCTCCACCCTGAGTCATGACAATCAAAAATGTCTCCAGACGTTGCCAGATGTCCCCTGGGGAGCCATATGACTCGTGCTTGATTACAGCTGCTTTAAAAGGAATAGGACCAGGGGGAAGGAAGAGGCCCTGGAGCTGAGGGTGCTGAGAATGAGTGCTGAGGGGGGGAGGTGTGAATAACTGCGGGGGGT